AGATTGTCTATTCACTCACTTGTCGATGAGTCGCATCATCCGTTTTTTTGTCCCCCACTTTTGATTTTTCGACAACTGCGCATTTCTATCCAGTTTCGTTATTTAAATTTCATGTAAAAATCTTGAATTATTATTTTTTTCATTTTCTCGTCATATACGTCATTTTTATGGCTTGCGAAATCTGTACGATTTTAGTTCCTTTGGAAAAAAAAGTTGATGAACCAGTCTCAATTTTATTTTTTGAAAACATTGTTTTTTTTTTATTTATTAATTAATTTTTTGCTTATTTACTTATAGGACAGAAATATAAAATTTTTCTGATTAATTAAAATTAATTAAAAAATTGATTTTACTATTAAATTACTTTTTATTTACTTATTTTTTTTTTAACATTTATTATATTTTATTAGTTATTTATTAGCCATTATTTATCAATGTAGAGAGTAAATTTATTGTGACCCCTAATATTTCAAAAAACAAATGATGATCCTGCCCTTTAACCTTCTTTTGCCTGTAAAAATCAATTAATTACAGAAAAAAAAAATAGTTGTGTCTGAAAACTTTTAGTATAAAAAAATCATTGGGAATTTTCTAATTTACTTTTTTTTTTAATTAGAAACTGATCCCTGTATCGATTTTATTTTGTCACGCCATTTGAGGCACGCAATTTATTGAATTGTAAAAGAGTTTCTAGTTTACACAAAATGGGGAAAATATAAACATTTTTGTTTTATTGAAAAATATTTTTAAAAAATACCTAATAACAAACTTATTGACACACATATTGAAAAATATACAATTTTTCTCTGGCAAAGTATATATTTTATTTTACTAAATATTTTTTTAACTATATATATTTTTTTACTAAAATAAATAAAGGGGTTTTAAACATAAATAAATAAAAATCACTGTTTTAAAAATGTACCCTTTTTTTAGAATGAAAAAGAATTTGCAGATACTTGAAAAAAAAAATTCAGTTTCTTGATATCTATAAGCTATATATATTTTTTTGCAAATATCAATGCGTTAAAAACTTTTCATTTTTAAATATCAAATAATAAAGGTTGCAGGTGAAAAAAAAGTATAGTGTACGCGAGGAAAATGACCTTGACCTTTGTCAGTGACTGAAAATAACACCGTGTATTCAAGAGTATGTGGAATCATATTCCTTTGTTAAACTTTTTGAACGCAGCTTTATCCTGTCAGTAGTGTGATTTTATTTTGCAAAAGTTTAAAGCTTGGAAAATAAAAATTGCTGATTACATATGAATACATTTGATACAAATACAATGAAAGTGATTAGTTTTTTTTTTATGTTTTCTTAAATTATTTAATAAATTGCTTCCTCCTCTAGAGGGAGGATTTGTTTATTGTTAGACCTTTTCTTTTTTTTGCTAATTAAAACGGAAAAAATTTCCACCTTTAGGTTTTGAAATAATGTTAAAAATTTTGACAAAACTAGTGTCAAGGGCAAGCTTCTTGAATGGACATTGAATGCGCGAACAAAAAGACAATAGCCTTGACCCTCATGCAGAAACAAAGACGTATCATCGATTTGCAAGAATCTACGTTAGATCGAAGCAACCACGTAATTGCGGCTGGTCTCGCGAATTATTATTGTACAAATAGAAGTGAAATAATGGAAACAATAAGTAAATGAAAGTGGATTGCCACTGTACTGGAGGAGGAATATCCGGGGGATCTTGTGCTTCCTGCAAGGACGTTGGAAGCACGCCAAGAAGAATGCCGAGACGAAAGTTCATTTGATAGGACGCCAATATTGAGGATGTCGGGATCCAGTGGCGGACTATCGGAATTAATGGCTCCTACAGGTGGATTAAAAAGATGCGGAGGCGGAATGAGTTCACCATCACTTGGCGCTGGTTTGACATCAAGTGGAGGCCTCCCACGAACTTTGTCCACCTCAGCCCTTCGAGTTCGACCTCAACGAAGGCCTGTCTTTTGGGAGTACTGCTTTGAAACTCCTCCAAAGAGGGATTTGTAAGTTTTGCCAAAGTTGTGCTTCAAAATTTAGACAACTTTTCGAAATATAACGCTTGTCCATTAATAATTATACTTAAGTCCTCGGAAAAGTTAACGGGACGCGCATGAATAACTTATTGAAATCAATTTTACAAATTTTCATCCATCAGAATTATTGTTTTAATTATTATTTTCACAGAAAATTAAAAGGCATTAAAATAAGCTGCAACGCTTATTATTTTAATCCAATTTTGCTTATTTTAATACCAAAATGGATTAAAATAAGCAAAATTGGATTTTTAATGCCTTTTAAATTTCTGTGTTACAGAAAGAATCAAAGAATTCTAAAAACGCCGAAATGTGTCCGAATATTTCGAAGCACTCAAATTTTTCTGCTATAAAAATTTCGAACTAATGAAAGTTTGGTAAAATAAAAATTTTAAGAATTCTGTTAAATTCGAACAAATAAAAATTCTGCTAAATTCAAGGTAATTAAAATATTCTATCAAATAAAAATGGTGAAAAATTAATTTTTGAGCTTATTGATTCTATCTTTGAACGTCATTTATTATAATGGCAGAAAATTCATCACTTCTCATGTTATTATAATTAGAAAAGGGTTCGAATTTCGATGTTTATGACATAAATTCTCAAGTTATTAATCCTGTCACCTTCGATCGATGAAAAAGTTTCTATTTGCAATTTACGTTAATATAATGTTAAAAGCTTAAATTTCTATATAATAATGTTTTAAACATTAAAACACAGAGAACGAACAAAAAAATATTTATATTCAATTTCTGCTGTATAAAAAATCCCTCTTCAAAAAATTTGCTACCTGATCGTTTTCCCGATTATTATAGTTTAGGTAAATAAATATTTCCTCCATTATCTTCGTTAGTGTACTATGAATTAATTACAGTAATTTGAAAATCCTTTCATTTTTGTTTAAGTCTAGATTTTTGAGTTTTTAATTCAGAAATTCAATTTTTTTTTCACCAATTTCAGTACCTATAAAAAGTAGGAGTATATATGTACATTGAACATGTGAAAAAAAAATAGTCACCCGTTGGGAAATATTTCTTTTTATGGATACTAAAGCTCTTTTTTTCAAAGCTAAGCTTCTTTTATAACGAAATATTTTGCATTTTCGAAATTTTGCTTGGAAAGTCTCTCTCTCTCTTTCTCTATTGCTCTATAAAATAAACAGGTATCTTCATATTTTCATCACGTTTTCTTATACAAAAACTAAGAAGTTATACTTGAAATAGAATTAAAGGTTCGGAGAAATTGCCCTCTATACATCATATACATAGTAATCCCTTTTATCGTCGTAACTGAGTACACTTTATTTCTTTTGAAAAATAGGGTCACATTTATTAAAAAAAAACTGAAGACAGTAATAATATTTTTTTTTTGAAATTGAATCATTTATTTCGTAATTCAATATGAATTTACAGCATCACAAAAATGCATTTTTTATTTCGAAAAATCTGCTTGAAATTATATTATATATTTTGTTTTATTTTATATTTTTAAATTTTAATATATGAATTTATATGAAGCAAAAATAGCAAATGAGGGATTTATTTTCAAATTAGAAATCTAAAGTTTGAATTTCAAGGCAAAAAAAAAAATTTAATTTTTTAACTGAAAGTACATCTTTTCATGATTTCAAGTTGAGGAATTAATTTGCCAACTGTATCATTATCTGATTTTATAGTTCAGTAGGTAGCGTTTGCGATATTCCCCTAATGAACTTTGACCTTTCTCTGATTTACTCTAATTTTCTCATTTCTGAACATCTTTATACAACTGGTGAGTCTCTTGCTAAATTTAGAAATCTCCTGAAAAGGAGAAGTATATAATCATTCATTCGAATGAATCAATAATTTTTATGTAATGCACTTAAGCGGTAAATAATATTTAAATTTTATCGAGCGATTAAATAGAACATTTTTTTTTTTTAATGTCTTTTATAGATAATAATAAATATTCAATATTTTTTCTATTAAAAATAGATTTACATTCTACTGATTTTACATTTTTTATTTTATCAATTTAATTTTGATTTTCCATTTTTTTTCGATATCTACCTTTTTGCTTTCTCTATAAGGAATTACAATATTGTTTTATTGTTCTCTCTTTTATTAGTTGATAATTCTTATTTTAAGTTAAAATATCTCATTTTTTTTGTCCTTTTTCCGGTCTCTCGAAAGATTTTCAAATTTATAGAATATGGCTATATAAGTATTTCTTTTTGTGGAAAATAACTCGATCTGTCAGTTATCTTTTCATGTGGAAAAAATTCTAATTAAATTATAGAAATACTGGGTAAAATGTCTCGAACAAAAACATTAATAGCGAAACTCATGAAAGTTCTAGAAGAGAAATTCTTGGTTCGCGTGACTGAGATCCTCCATTTTCCATTTTCCGGTTAAAGATTCACTACTGCTCCCTTTTTTCCCCTCTCGTTTGGTCTTTTCATTTATGTCAGAAAATTAGAGCACCGTTAGATATATTTTCAATAGAAAAACATTTTTTTTTTATTCAATTTTATTTTATTTTTATTTAAAAATTTTTTTCCTTTGCAAGAACAACAAAATATTTTATTGAAAAATTTATTTAATTTCTCATTTTTCTTATTCTAGATCCTTTTTTGTATTCCAAGTCTTTATGCTTTTTAATTGCCTATAGATTGCTCTTTGATTTTTATTCCTTCCTTTATTGAATCTTCATTGAGTAGAATTATTTTGCAAGTGAAAATATTTTTAATTTTAGCATTTGTGTTATATCAATTTCCGTTGAACTGACTTTTGATTAATATTATGTAAACTTTTTTTTAAGAAATACCCTACAAAACGGGTAACAGTGACGATGTAACGCATATAAATGTATTTTCTTCATGTATTGGCTTTGCGGACGCTTTAGTTTTTAGTATGTTTTTTTAAACTATATTTTTGTAATTTGAGAGAAAAATAATTGTAAATCTATATAGAAATTTTTTTTATTTACAGTCATGGCGAAGACCTCATCGTCACACCCTTCGCACAAATCCTCGCTTCTTTGCGTTCGGTTAGGAACAACTTTTTATCACTTACGAACGTCCCTACGAACAAGTGAGTAATTCTTTTATTATATTATTTCAATTATAGTTTTAATGCAGTAAAATTTTATACGATTTGGAAATTTATTTTTTTCATTTTTTAAACTAAGAATTATTAATGTTTCGTTTGACTTTGAATAATTTCAATAATAAATTTCCGTTATCGTAAATATATGACGCGCAAGGTTTTTTGATATTATTTCTAAAAAGTCGGTTTCTTTATACGATTTTCCATTGATCTTGAATGAAATCAATTTTTCTTCAATGGAGATCGGAAAATAAATCAAATATATATATATAAAATGTCGTTTTCGATAAAAAGCACTTATTCAGCTATTCAATAGTAACTGATTTAAAAGTCCAAATATAGTGACTTGAAAGTGAAGGCTAGCAACTTATCCGTTGATAATATACCGCAGTAACGGTTCGATTATCAGTTACATTAAAAATAATTTTAATATTAAACTTGCCCATCTCTTTACGGTGGGTGATTAAATTTTTATTTTCAATAATTTAATTTATCGTATTTATTAAAATTTTCCAATAAAAATTTATTTGTACTTGAAAAATATTATTGAGAATTTTTTTTAATTTATATTGTTCTTTTTATTTAGATCGAGGAGGAGTAGTGGAGCCCAGGGCAGTAGTACGCCTCAACCACGGATCCTGGCACCCGGAGGTAATTAACCCTATTCAATTAACAACAACAAAATACTTCTTATTTTGAAAATTTCAATTTAAAAATTCAATTATTTTCACTAATTTTTATAATTAAATTAAAATTTTTTTTATTTAAAATTCTTCGCCAATTTAATAATTTTTAAATAATATTAATTGAAATAATTTTTTATCAAATTCTTCTAAAATTCAATTATTAATTATAAAATCGTTTGTGAAAATTTTTAGAAATTGTGAATTGAAGCAGAATAATTAGTTAATGTTTAGAGAACGTAAGATTATTTCGATTTAATAATTGTTAATCGGGTAGACAGACAACACTTTGATCAATTCAAGAGGTAATCGGGTTCAGAGCTAATCCGATTTTGACCTTTATTAGACAAAAAATTCTCAACGTTCAAAGCTAATAATATCTTGAAAGGTCACATTTGCTTTATCTTCGTTAGAAATAATGAAAATTATACAAGGCAAATTGAAATTGTCATATCTCACTTTTCATTTCCTTTAAATATTTTCCACTGAAACTCAAATTTCTATTTAGATTTCTAAACATTATAAAATCGTAACAAAATTTTTATTGACGTAAAATTTTTTTTTTTTTTTTGCTTCAATTTATTTATTTCTTGCGCGCAATATATACGTTTCGAGATAAGGATACGCTGAAAAGTGTAAAATGTTCGTGAAAGTTTCGCAAAAGTAAATTTAAACTTAACTGTTGTTTTAAAGGAGCAAACTTTGCGGTTCCTTGAAACATCTAAACTAATGAATTGAGAATCGCTATATACTTTTTTTTAAAAGCAGAGTTTATCTGTATATCTTTATAAAAGAAAAGGAGGTTTCAATTTATGAGGAAAATTTTTTTTTTTCAACTTGGATTCTTGAGATTTTCTAAAATGAACTTTTATCTGTGTTTATTGCAGAGGAGCCCTACGTGAAACTAGCTGTGGAAACGATGGAGGAGTTGGACTGGTGCCTGGACCAGTTAGAAACTATTCAAACCCATCGATCCGTGTCTGACATGGCCTCTCTGAAGGTAAGAAATGCTTGTTGATTCAACTATTCATTTCAATTGTCACATTTCATCATCGTCGCAAAAAAAAAAAATTTCTCATCCAATATTTTTCAATTCTCAAATTTTTTTTTGAAATTTTCAATTTAACTTCAAATTTTTGAATTTCTTTTTAACAATTCAATTTTTTTTAACACATAAAAAGAGCAATTTTTTTTCAAACCGTTGTGCTTGCAATAAAAATTGTGATAGAAATATTTTCAAATGGATGATTTTTTATTAAAAAATGAAATGAAATTTAAAATTTAATAAAGGATTTCAAAAAGGAGTTTAAAGAACTGTAGGTTTAATAAATACGATTTTTCTCAATTGATTCGAATGTCGTATTGTATTTTATGAAAACTATATATTGAAATCATTAGAGAAAAATTTTATCACCAGCGTGATAAATTTTGATTTTCTCTTTTATGCAAAAAAAAAAAAACGTATATTTTAAAATTATTCTGTCTCAATTTGTTGGTGTAACGGTTTGAAAAACTGAAAATAGAATATTCTGAAATTAACAACACATTCTTGGCACCTATTTTAGAATATTTCAATGTAATTTATTTTTAAATTCACTATACTCTAGTTTTTAATCAAGAATTATTAATTTGAAAATATATAAATTCAGAATTAACAATAAAAATAATCCTTAGAATATGAGTATTTTTAAAAGTATTAATTTATAAAATAGATGCGCCAAAGTATTTATTTTTAATTTTAAAATATTTTTTCTCTGTCATAAAGAATTTTTTCCACATCGGTAAAATGAGAATGTTTTAAAAAAATTCCTTGAAAGATTTTTTTTGAAGGAGGTGTTATATATATATAGAAATTTAGAATTTCTTGAGTGACAGCTTTACATATTGTCTTTTGTTGAAAGAATCAATAGCACCTACACGTGGAATAGCTTAAATGTAAAAAATTTACTCTTTTATGTATTATAAAATCAAACCTAAAGAAAACGAAAGTTATTTATACTACTGTGAATTGATGAGACAAAAGGAAACTGATCCTTCTTAATTAACGTATTTTTCTATACAATTTATTGGAGACTACTTACTTCCGCATTTTTAGAAAATCCTCTTACAAAACAAAATCTCTTTATCCAACGAAATATTAATTAATTTTAAGACTCCAAAATGAAATTTAGAGTATTTATACACTGTAAATTAAATTAATTAAAATCCGTAAAAATTGATTCAAAGAGGGGATTTTTTTGTTACTCTTTATATCAAAGAAACATTTTTTTGATTGAAAGAAATTCTATAAAAAAAACAAGTAAATAATACAAAAAAATTTCTTTTATAATTAAATTCGTAAAGTAATTTAAGAATTTTTTTAATACAAATCATTTTCTTAATGAAAAAAATAGATTCGCTAAAATATTAAAAAGAAATAATAATTCGTAAGGCATCTTTGAGGATTTTTTTTTATATCTATGTAATGCCTGTTTGCAACTTAATTTATTCATTTTGTAAGTGAATTTTAAGAGCTAATCGAAATTAAATCGCACTTGACAGTTTTCTCATTAGAAGCTTCTCATAAATTTTTCTGCTCTACTTCTACAGTTTTCGAACTGCATTTTCTGTCTTTAAAAACAGACTCGGACCACTGAGAAATCTTCTGGCGAAGTTCATTTATCTTTAAAAGATAAATGACAAATAATAATAATCCCTAAAATGAAAAACTTGTCAGTAATTTTAACGAATTACTAACTATAAAAATTTCTTCTGTAAATCTTTTTTTCCTTTAATACAAAAAAAAAAAATTTCTTTTTAAATCTCGAATTAACATGAATGAGATTCGATTCTGATGCCCTTGAATATAAATCTATTAGAGCTGGATTCAAGGTATAATTTTCTGTTACTTTTTTTTTCATATTCTTTTCTGCTACAAATTACAAAATTCTTATCTCATGTCAATGTGTGAGTGAATAAAAAAATCAATAGACATTCGCCGTAAATTATAACTTATCACAAACTTGTTATCTTTCAAGTTTAGCTTCACATTATGAAGTTTTGTCAGTAGCCAATGAAATTCGGTAACGAGAAAAGTTACATTCGCAAGTGTACTTTTTTTTTAGAAGAAAGTACTCCTCGTTTTCTTCCACTTGTAAAACATTGAATTGAGTTACATATTATTTTGCGCTGAAACTTGATACAATTTCAGCCACTTGGATGCTCTTCTTCATTTCATAATTAAAACTCTTTTTATTCCATAGCTAATTAATTTACTAAATATTCTTTGAATATTAAAAAGTCGATCCGACTAATTATAACTAATTTATGCAAATTTTTTTTTTTAATTTAGTAAATTATTTAAATAGTTGTTTTAGGCTATAAATATTGTTATTTTTGAACCGTAAGTCAAGGTTAAACACAATTACTGTCCTAACTTAACATAAAGTGCAAGTTGATTTAAGCGCTACTTAAATATTTTGCCCGAGTAAAGTAAAGATAAATCATGATTAATAACGTGCATCAAGTTTTCGCTTTGATGGAAATTATTTGCAAAGACTTTAATATCTAAAAACGAATTCATTATTTATCATTTTGCCTAGGAATATTAATTTCAATTTACCTTGTACAATTTTCCTCATTTGAGTACTGCATCAGTTCCTTTCGCATTTACAAATTTGCAATTCTGTATACTTTCAAGAATATTTTATTTTTATACTTTTGAAATTTTAGAATTCATGATTTTTAGGGAGATATAATTTTCTTTTTTCCTCAAAAATTCCAATTAAGTGTGAAATTTTTTGCGGAGATTGTAAACAGTTTAAGTATACAGACATGTAGTATTGTTCGAAGCAAAAACTCTAAGGAGAGTTAATTCCACAGCCTTGAAATAAGTTTATTGAACTCAACACTTTCTAATGAAGCACACAATGTACGTGTCTACGAAAGCTTCGAACTCGTTTATTCTCATCGAGACAAATGGAGCGTCAAGACCAAATCTGCAAAATCAGGGACATCAAGGTCCGAGAAAATTCTTCCGACCTCGATTTCCTTAAAAAATCTCGTATACTTTTTTTTTTTTTGATCTATCTCCACAAATTTTCATTTTCTGAATATATTTGAAAATTTATGTTTTTGTTTGCTGTTCATTCTTTTCGTTTATAGTATTTTTCAATCGTAAATTTTCCATTAGATTTCGAAATATATTTTCACCGATTCTGACGTTCGAGAAATCTGGGAATTGTTTTTCTAAAAGTATATAGAAAAGGACACACGTGTGAAGAGAATAAGATCGTAAATTTTCCCAGAGAGAAAATTATGAACAAACTTGCTTTTGTAAATGCACGTAAGATATGAGGGAATTTGTAATTGCAAATTTATATACTCTATTAATCTCATTTTCCAAGAGTTGAGAGATTCTTATATACTTGAATCTCATTAGGTGATGAATTTAGAAAATCTCTTTTCACGTAATATTTTATGTAATGATAATGTAATTTACAAGCAATTGTAATGATTTATGGTAGTTACAATTGAAAACGATAGTTATTTAAATATAAATTATTATTATTTTTGCGAAATATTTATCGAATGAGAAAAAAATCATTTTTTTTAATACAGTAATGAGACTTGTAATGTGTAACGAACTTTGTACTGTAAAATTTTATCAGATAAAGGGGCTTCTTTAAAATTACGCCGTCTTATCTGTAATTGTTTAAGTCTGATGGAAAACTTTTAGTGAAGCTGTTGTTTCTTCAGTGGAAGTAGTGAAAATTACCTTCATGATTTATAATGTTACACAAAGGCACGTACACACAGTTTGATAAAGTTACTTAATGAAAAATAATGAAGCTTCTTCATCGTAGACATAACTTCATATGGCAGATCTGTTAACCTTTCGTTTACAAGTTTAAAGGTCATCAGCGATTGTCTCTTGGGAATCACGTTTTAAGCTCGTGATCCTTTTAATTTCTGATTGTACGATTATTATCCCACCTAATTGCACCAAAATATTTATACATTGTTATGTATACGATGGGGTTAATCCATATTTAATGCTATTTCAATTCGCTATTTTGAACGTCATTTTAAAAATTATTTTAGGAGCTTCTTTTTTTATCGAAAACTATTTTTTTTCTATTGTAACGATTATGGCAATATATGGTATAAAATAATTTTCATATACATTTAAAAAGCGACAGATCGAAAATTTAATTTCAATTAATCTATCTTGATAGATTTTGAGGGTCATTTTGCTGCGTCATTTCACGTGTATAACTTTTTTTTTTTATCAGATTCCCCTCTGTCTACTCTTTACAAATGATAAGTGAATAGACATGATTCATCTCTTCCGGGATCGTAAATTATTTGGCATGCATATGTTCATTGACTCCATTAGTAATTGACAATAATGCTTTTAGATTTGAATCAATTTTAATTTGGCGATACCTTCTTTCAAAATTATTGGAAGCTTATATTTTTAAAAATAAAAAATTTAGGACTTTATTATTCAAAACAAGCGTGAAAACAATAGAATCATTATCATCGTTTTGCTAATTTTACATAATTTATGTTTGTTTTAAAATATTTGGGACAAAAATTTCTATATTTGAATCAAATAAATTTTTTTTCAGTGAATTAATTAATTTAAAAATTAGTGATAATTTCTACTAATTTAGTTCTACTAATTTTTTAATGTATAAAATTTCTATTTCTACTAATTATATAATTTATTTTATAAAATTTCAACTAATATCAGTGGATGAGTTCGCACTAATTGAAATTTAGAGAGGTAGGGAGTTACAATGAACCTATATAAATTATAATAAACGTAAATTCCTAACTTTGATGCAAGGCCCACATTCAAATTGTAGATACAGTTGTTATATATCAATACAAGATAAGTAAATTCATAAATACGTGAATCAACTATTTGATCAAAAGCTTAAAAAAAATTCGCTTCATCACTTGAACTATTAACAAGATCGAAATCGCTATTTAAAAGTCAATTATTCGCTTTTG